AAGAAAGGGTAGTCCGCGCAATATTGAATAGATCAGTTCTGAACTTTACTGAATCCGATCTTGGGCATATGGTATTTTAGCAATGCGACCTTGAAAGGCGAGATTAAAACTCACGAATGATCTACAGCAGAAACTTCCAGCGCCTTCAGCGCTGCCAGACTGGCAATTCTGTACCCTTCGACGATTGTCTGTGGGTGAATCTTCATCGCAATCAGCTTTTCCGCTTCCCTCAGCAGCTGTGCAGCCAACACAACGACACTCGTCGTTCCATCTCCGATCTCATCATCTTGGACTTTACTTATATTCACCAAGATCTTTGCAGCGGCGTTGTCCAGTTGAATAGCTTTGAGAATTGTAGCCCCATCATTGGTGACGTTTATTTCACCGGTAGATGCGGATTGAAGAATTTTGTTCATTCCTTTTGGCCCTAATGTGGATGCGACGAGGTCTCCAAGCGCGATGGCACCGACGAACGAAGAGAGACGCGCATTTTCGGCTTTTTCTTCCGTCGCCTGGATGTATAGATAAGATTTATGTAGCTTTCAAAATATGTTCGAGATTACCTGTTCTCCAAAAATTTGCATCGACATTGAGGAAGATGGAAAGAAATGAGCAGAAGACGCGTGAGTCGGTCAAAGCTGTGTGAAAAATTATGCGCGTCAATATTATTCGTGCTGTTCCTTTCTCTCAGTATCATGTTATGTCTGAACAAGACTTTCTACACCGTATACGACTACTGTCTATCTTACACGTCCTCCGACGCTCGGACCCTACAACACTCGTTTAATTTCCCATTCATGAGCGCTTTACCTGGCAGTCTCAGAGAGCTGTGACTTTCCTTGACCTCTCCGTCTCTTGGTGGCCAAGAACGGAAACGCGAACCGCCCCTCGGAAGATCAGACTGTGCTCGCTGTAGCCTTGAGCGTCTAGTGTCAGATCGAAGATCAAGGCCTAAGGTTCGAGGGGGTTCATTTCTGCAGCGATCAAGCTGTGGAATGGAACAAAGTTTAAATTTACCGAACGAGTCTGGTGCGCTGACCAAGGTCTTTCCGTGTGGTTTCGCTGGGATGAGAACCATACACCACCACCATTCGTAACCGTAGCTTTTTTCGGTGGTAGCTGTAATGCTACAGGATGCTATCTCGCTACTTTTGGGTTAGTCTTGATATCTAGAATGTCTGATTTGAGTCCTTCTATTATACTTGGCCCTGTAGTGATGATGTTCATCCAATGATTTTTGTAGTGAGAAAGTATGCAAGTTTTTCCACAGAGAAATTGATCCTTGAATCTTACTCTCTAGATCGTGGAATGGGAGACAGCAATATATACTGGGCATACTTGTCATTAGAATAACTCTAGTATTTATGACAGAAAGAGATACACAGGAATGGAGTACTTATCATAATCCGAGTTTATGCTGGAGGACAGATGTTTACTACTAAAAGGACACCTATCTACAGACATCTGTATTCAGACAGTGGGACGGCAGTGACAATACACCCCCGAGCTAAAGCTCAATGAATAACTCATCCCGGAGCTTGACTCGGCTGGAGATCCCCTCGAATGTGAATCGTAACCGACGGAAAAGGGCTAGGTTATAGTATAAGTAGTACCAGATCCCCGAGTCACGACATGCAGAGAGCACGCAACGTTGATTTGAATAGAGAGAAAGAAACTCTGGACAGTCTCCAAGGCACCGTGAGGTAGGTTTTGTAAAGTCACCAATGACAGTACAATGAGAGTGAGCCGCGCAAGGGTATATAACAAAGGACACAGGATCATAAAATATACCACAGCTGTCTTTTCCACGAGATAGCCGATCAGAGGCACATATGGTGCTGACCAGCAAGTGATAAGCCAAGTTGCCGGAGCACCTACAACGACCGACGAAGCTATTATCCAGAGAATTCGCTCTATGTAACTTGAAAAGGTCAGTCCCAAAGCAGTGCAGTGAATAGCACCGAATATCGTTGCTGAAATACAGGAAATCAAAACACTTCCCCTCATCAACTCTATACCCTGATGATATTCGAAAGGTTGAATTTTTTTCCCAACATAATCTAATTCCTCTCCGGTTGCGATGAAGGCCAGCCACATAACCAACATGACTGGACAACAGAACAGGTATGCAACGACCCAGAATGCCTTCCCTCCTGTACTTGATTTCTCAAACCTTTCCCCGAAATTTGCCTGGAAGCTTCGTTGCAAAACTAACCAGGTGAATATCACTTGCTGATCCATCGATTGTGAGATTGCGTTTTGAACGGTACTGAGGGTTGGTGATGCCAGCTCTTTGCTAGATTGAGACTGGCGAGTAGACAGGTCCCCTGTACGAGTGGATACTAACAGAGGCCGGAAGCCGCCCAGGCTAGAGACTTGAACTGCCTCTCCGCCAACATGCCAGTGAGGCGCGCTGCGACTTAGTTGGATACGAAAATGAGAATTAACTCCCTGCAGCTTGTACCACCAGAAAAAGTATAGAAGGAGGTTGATAAAAGCAAAAGCAGTGGTCATGATCTCAAGCTCGGTGGCCTCCAGCCTTTGGATTCCTCTGGCCAGGAGCTGAATAACCAACCAAGTGGTTTGGGAGACGGTGATGAGCTTCGAGAACCCATCGCTGTGACTGTGGTGGTCGATTTCGTCTTTGTTGATTTGACCAATAAGGCTGGCATAAGCGAGAAGTGAGCGTACGTCTAGTTCACTCTCACTGGAGGCGGGACTATCGGAGTCAAGAAACCGTTGAATTTTTTTGCCTTCCGAGTCGGAAATATGTAGCGGCATGACTCGTAAAACACAAACCATCTTCTCGTCGTCATACAGGGCAAATCCCCCCATGAGTGCAAAAAAGGCATGGGTTGTTGTCCATCCATGCAGTTTGAACCCTAGCGTTGATATATTGTGAGTAACAATGAACAATCCAATGATTTTAAGTTCGTACTTTGTGCGAGCGCTCTTGCTGAGTACCAGTCTCGACATGCCCAAAATACCATCATCTCAGGTGCAATCAGAGTGACCCCCATCAGGAATATTCTTTCTGCAAATACCCTCCACCGTCGTTCATTCGGTATTGGAATATTGGCGTGAATCGATACCCAAGTGCAAGCAATGAGCACAGAAATGCAACTCCATATGATTTGGAGTGTAGTGCGGCAGTGAATATCGGTGCATGTGTCCGGAGTACTGTCTCTGGCAGCAAGGGCAGCCATCGAAGACAATAGTATTTCTGTGATTTCTGGAACGTCTTCTGAGGTGTTCGACCGGTGTGGGATTAGCATCGCAACAGAGGGTAGGAGATTGGTAGGAAATGAGGTGAGTTCTATTGAGACGCATCCCAGTCCCTATATACTGGCCTGACTCTCCAAATATCGAGATGTTTATTTCGCAGCGCGCGCGCTCCAGAGAACAAAGGCCGTGTGCTGTCCTCATTGACCTCCTCGATCATAGAAGATTCCATGCACATCCAGATATCAAGATGTCTCTTTAGCGCGCCAGAGAGCCGGGCTGTGGTCCTTGAGGAACTCGATCTTAGAGTCTTCGGAAATTCAGTGCATCCTAATATTGACAAGTCCCTTTAGCGCGCGCTTCAGAGAAAGAGCTGTGTTGTCCTCAATGAACTTGATCATAGCACTTTAAGTAATTCTGTACCCATCGCGCCCCATTTCCGCCCATTTCCAGTCACACTTACTGTCCTCTAGTTCTCTCAGTGATACAAACATGTCAATGAAGTCCCCACGCCCACACACTTGTCAGTATGGGCCATCGCGCTAAGTGCGTGGCAGGTACGAGTCCTGTAGCAGCAGTTCATTCTATTGCTATAATTAGCAGTACATGTTGCGTTAAGCTCGAACATCCAAAAGCAGATGGAAAATTGTGTTGGAAGGAACGCAACACGGGAGATGACATGTATCACAGAATGGGATCTCGAGGTCAGGACATGTGTTGTCTGCGCGAGCTTCAAGCTCAAGCGCCAAACAGAGTGCGAAGTTTCGCAGTGGGAAGGTTCCGAGAAGACAAATTAAGTAGACCGCGCGCTAGTGAAGCACTGCGGCTAGTCTTCCCACCATTCTCCACAGCGTTATCCTTCCAACCCAGCAGTGTCCCAAGCCTTCCTTATTTTTCGGATTAGAACATGAATCCAAGTGGTAACGAGTCGAAAAAATCCCGAGGATGATGACAGTCGACAAGGAAAGCAAATGCTTTCCTCAAGCGCCCACTGGGCGCCAGAATGCAGTACTTTCTTTTTCTTTTTTTTTTTTTTTTTGTGGAACGTTGCCAGAAACCAGCGACTTTCGTCGCTTTAATCTCTTAGCACCATCAGAGGACTCACATTGTCGTCCCCTCCCGGCCGTTAAGTTTGCAAGGTACGGGACCGAGCGACTTTTTAAGATTTCAACCACCCGAGGGAATGCGTTACGCACTTGCCAGGTAGGCAGTCTGTGGGACTCCGGGCAGGCTCTCCTTCCATCTCCTTCCACTCCCCTATTTTTGTTAGTAAATATAAATCATAATTCTGTATACCTTGCATAAACCCCCGCCTTCTTGTGCCCACCCGTCTACACCACTAAAACCCCGGGCCCGGCCAGTATAATTTGGTCAGGACTAAGATCTTCCTGGACTATGTGCGCCCAAGTCGATCTCACCACGCCTTTGGATAGTTTCCGCTGGCTGTATTTGCTTGATGTGAGGAGGGTGTCCAGTCGGTACCGGCTTTCCAGTGTCCATCGCCACTGGTTCTCAATTTCTCGTTTTGATGGTGGGTTTTCCCCATTGATTACATGTTTGTTTCTCATCTTCCAGATCAAGTACGCGCTTTCTGATACAAAGATGCGGTACAGGCGTGATTCACCTGGGAGGGCTTTCCCATCCGCATCACAAAAGTTTGTTGTGCCACAGGCCATTATTCCAAAGGTGGGCTCTATCCATTCTGTGGGTCACTTCTCCCATGCCTTCTGGGCTAGCTCCCATACCTCCTTCTGTTAAAGTTATAATGACTGACAAAGTGTCCAGACTGGGGATTGAACCCAGGACCTTCTGGTGAAATCCCAAGATGCTCTAACCAACTGAGCTATCTGGCCATGGTTACAGCTAATGGAAGAGATACCTATACCTCCCGGCGCTATACCTATACGCGCACTGTCAGAGGTGCATGTAACACTTCCG